CCGGGCACGGTGCACCTCCCCCCGGTGGGAGGAGTGTTGGTGGTGAAGGGCAGAGCGGCAGGCGGTGTTTGGTGCGGAGCGGTGTGCTGCTGTGTTCCCGCAGGGGGCGCTGCTGGCCGCTGTTCTTGGCGCTGTGTGCGCTGCTCGGACGGCGGGGGCGGCCGGAGCCGCCGGTGGGGTTGGGGGTCGGTGGGTGCTACGCAGAGCTCCTGCTACGGAGCCGCTGCGGTTTGGGTCGCTTCCCATTCCCCTCCCAATTTCGCTCCTCGGTTTTTTGCTTTGGCAACAAGATGCTAAAGGCAACAAGAAGGGATCCAGGTACATCAGTCCGAAAAGGCAGGCCGATGAGAGCGTACCTCCTCTGCTAAATGGGAAAGGAGAACTGGCTACAACAGGTATGGAGGAGGTTGCGGTACTCAGTGCGTTCTCTGCCTCAGGCTTTGCTGGCAGCCGGGATTCTCACATCCCTGAACCTCACATCCCTGAACCTGAACCTCCAGGTGGGAACCGGGGGAGCAAACTCCTCCCTGCTGCAAGGGCAGAGCAAATCTGTGACTGACTGTTGAGAATGAATGTGTACAAGTGCCTGGGGCTGGATGGCGTGCAACCCAGGGTCCTACGGGAGCTGGCTGAGCTGGCTGCCAGGCAAAGTCCCCAGGGACTGGAAAAAGGGAAGCATCAAAGGGAGGAAGGAGGAACTGGGGAGCTACAGGCTGCTGGGTCTCCCCGCTGAGCCTGGGAAGATGTAGGAGCAGATTCTCCTGGAAGAGTTCAGGCACATGAGGGATGAGCGTGTGATCCGAGACAGCCAGCACTGCTTCACCAAGGGAGGGCTGTGCCTGACCCATTGGCGGCCTCCTGTGCTGGAGTGACAGCACTGGTGGACAAAGGGGGACAAAAGCCCCAAGGGGGAGGTCCAAGGAGATGCCACCTCAATGCCTGTCCCTTCAAGATGGCTGCCAACGCTGCCAGGATGGTCACTCCCACGTTGATGCTGTGACGGCACTCCGCCATGGCCCCAAATAGACACCTCTGAGCTGTAACCAGGGCAGCGTCAGTGGATTTATTGGGGGATCCAAAGTGCCTCAAACATGCTGAAGTGACCCCAAATTTACCTGGCAGCTCCTAGAATGTCCCCTATGGATCCTGGTGTCCCTGAGATGTCGCTATGCCTCCATGTCCCCATAGATTTCCCCAAACGCCCCATATTGACTTCAGTGTCTCCTACAAAGCCCCTTCCACTTCTCCGTAGACCACAATATCCCCCACAGATCCCAAGCACCCCCTACAGCCCTCAGTATTCCTTAGGGACCACCCCAGATGTCCCCAGATGCTTCTGTAAGCCTCAGTATTCCCTGTTGCTCCCCCTAGAAACACTACGGGGACATCCAAGGGGACACTGGGGCCTACAAAGACCTCCACGGCACACCCAGAAGTTTTCTGCAGGCCCCAGCTCCCCCCGGATGGCCCCAGGTGCCTCCTATAGACCTGGAGGTCTACCCATCCTCCTGGACTAAAGCTCAGCATCCCGTCAGGTGTCCCCAGAGCTCCCCTACAGACACGGATGTCTCTCCCACCACCCCGCTGCCACACAGTGATGCCATCCCTCTTCGGGGGTCTTTAGAGGCGGGACGGCGTCCCCCCGGCCACCACCACGGTCTCTCCCACCACGTAGGAGGCGGCGGGGGAGCAGAGGAATGCCACCACCTCGGCCACATCCGATGGCGTTCCCAGCCTGCGGGCAGGGGAAGACACCGCAGGGTCACTCCTTGTCACCGCCACCACCCACAGGTCCCCGTCCCCATGCTGAGGCTCTCGGGGCCGTTCCCCACCTGTCGATCCCCATGAGGGACATCATCTGTTCCTTGGTGGCCTCGTTCTTCCACAGCTGCAACACAGGGACACCGCAGGCTGCTCACCTCCAGCCCCGCCCATCGCAGACCCCTCCCCCCACCGGCTCCTCCCACCCGACCCGTCCCCCCATTGGTTGTCAGATTGTCCACCACCAAGAGGCTCCGCCCACCCCACAACCACGCCCAGCCCCCGCCCCCCACCCCGCATAGGAGGCCCTGCTTCCTGCCCTGCCCCGCTCAGACCCCTTGGCTGGACAAGATGCTCCTGCAGGTCCTTCCCAACCTTGTGATTCTATCATTCTCTGACCCGCACCCCAGGCACAGCTCCACCCCTCTGCATTCCCCACCACGGGACTCTGAGCACTGCCCCACGGGCCCCCCCCCCCCCCCCCCCCTCCCCAGACCCCCCCCCCCCCCCCGGCGGCACTGAAGCGGGTCTGGATGAGGCCGGGTGCGACGGCGTTGAGCCGCACTCCGCGGGCGCGCAGCTCCGGGGCCAACACCTTCACCAGCCCCAGCAGTGCTGTTTTGCTCACGCTGTATGGGCCCAGAGCCTGCAGGGCACAGGAGTGATCACACCAACCCGTCTGTCCGTCCGCATGTCCCTCTGCTGTCTGTCCCAACCACACGTCCATCTGTCCCATCAGCGGCTGCACGCCGTGCGTCCCAGCAGCCATTCCTCCCCCTTGCCCTTCTTCCACCCACCGCCCACCATTCCTTCACCCCACTGTCTGACCGCCCCCACCACCTCCCCACTGCACCCCCTGTCACCCCCTGTCCCACCCCTTCCCCCCATCCCAGCAGTCCTCGCCCGCCTCCATTGCCCCCCGCTCACTGGGTTGGGAATAAAGCCGGCCACTGATGTCACCAACACCACGGTGCCTCCACTGCAGGAAGAAAAGGGGGGAGCGCTGTCAGATGGGCCCACCCCCAAGAAGCCCCTCTCTCCATCAAACCCCTCTCTCCCACCACAGCCCACCCCCTCTCACCCTCTCTTCTCCATGTGAGGCAACACCAGCTTCACCAGCATCGCTGCTGCCGTTACGTTCACCTGGAAGATCTGGAGAGGGCAGAGCCATGAGAGTGGGGTGCAGTCAGTGGGTCGTGGTCAGTGCTTGTGGTCAGTGGGGAAGGGTGTGTGTGGGGAGGGGGGGGGGGGGGGGGGGCGGGTCACCTTCTCCCAGGCTGCCTCCTCGACCTCCAGGGTGCTGCCCATGACGGGGTTGACGGCGGCGTTGGAGACCAGGATGTCAATGGCACCATAGGTGTCCAATGCCTGCGGAAGGATTCACCCCAAAGAGTGATTGGGCCCCCACAGACCAGTGGGACGACCCCATAACCCCACGGGATACCCAGATACTGGGTTCAGTGAGGCCTCCACAGACCAATGGGAGCCCCCACCAAACAATGGGATCCCATGGTGACACGTAACCCCATGGGACTACTCACAGACGGGTGGCCCCCCATCGAGTCCCACCGAATGATGGGATCCCCACGCACCCCACAGAGCGATGGTACCCCAGCAGTTCCCCATAGAACAGTGGAACTTCCATGGTGCTCTACAACCCCACGGGACCTCCCTGACCGCAGAGCTCTTTGACTCCATGGGACCCCATAGCCCCATTGCACCCCATAGCCTCACTGCCCCCAGTAACCCATTATCTCCATAGCCCCACCGACCCTGCATAACCCCATGGGCTCCCACCGACCCCCTGCCCTCCACAACCCTATCGCTCCCCAGTGCACCATATCTCCCTCTATCCCCCTCCCACCTCCACTGCCCCCATAACCCCACATCCCCACCCCCTCACCGTCTGCACCA